AGTGTAATATCGCATAGCATTTCGTGAATTCTGGGGTGTAAAAGAAGTTATTTGACGAGGTGGTGTGAAAAAGAAAGAATAGATATATAATGGGGTGAAAAAGATTTTGACCCATTTCTAAATGCGCTGAGCCTACGTAGCTGCTTCTGGTGCTTCGGAATCTTATTGCCGAAGAATCATGCTTCGTAATTAAGTTTAGATAAATAATATTAATATATTAATAATTAATAATCTAGGTTCGGGTATTCCATAAATATTATTTAGCTAACTTAGGTATTTTAATATCACTTTTACTAATATAACCCTTTAATTCTTTCTAATTTTACATGGTGAGGCACTAAGTGACTAATATATCCCTGAATTTTGATTTGTTTCCTTCAATAAGCTATTGAATTATAAATGTATTTTAAAAGTTGATAACTTTTGTATTTCTTATTTGTTTTACATATATAATATATCAAATTAATCATTTTTTAATGATCTTCGATTTGACATCCATATTGTATATATGAAATAAATAAATTATATTTATCTTTATAATAATAAAAATAATAATATTTATTAAAATTCATTAGGAAAATAAAATTATTTCTCAATTCATATATTTATATGTAATGTAGTTATATATTGTAAGTTAAAAAAAATTAGTATAATATAACACAAGTAAGTTGCACAAATCAAAAATGTCATAATAAATATATAATAATATATATATATATATATTCTTATAAAAGGTATTTAAATTTGCAAACTAATTTTTCTCATTAATTTTAGATTTTAAGGAAAAAAAATAGCAAGCACTCGTGTAATACACGGGTATTGTACTAGTTATAATAATATTCCAGGTTTCAGATTATGTGACCTTATTTATGTTCGAAAAATTAGTTGAAGAATAAACTACTTATATGATTGTTTTCAATTTTTTTTATAATATGTTAGAGAATAAATTATGGATGCTGGAATCACTATATATATTATTTTTAGGAGACTCACCCACCACACCATTGTAGCGCCCCGTTCCAATAATAGAATTTATGTGATTATGTGAATTTTAGGAAATTTCATGGTATTATTTTATTTCGGCTATTTATGATTATTTCTCAACTAAAATCATCACATTATATTGTCTTAAAGATAATATAATATTCCGTTTAATTTATAGATTTTTTTGGATTATTCTATTTATCGAATTTTATTTATAAGGTCATATTTATTGTATTGGTCGCGATGTCGACTT